TGGCGGCCGCAGTCCAGGATCACGCCTGGGCCGCAGCCATTTGGGCCTTCGGTGGGGCTCCCCATGGGGCCACGAAACGTGTGAGGGGTGTGCCAAATATGGGGTGGCGGCGGCATGCGGACGCAGCCATTTGGGCCTTAGATGGAGCTCCCTATGGGGCCACGAAACGTGTGAGGGGTGTGCCAAAATTGGGCGGCGGCGGCATGCGGACGCAGCCATTTGGGCCTTCGGTGGAGCTCCCCATGGGGCCACGAAACGTGTGAGGGGTGTGCCAAATTGGGGGGCGGCGGCATGCGGACGCAGCCATTTGGGCCTTAGATGGAGCTCCCTATGGGGCCACGAAACGTGTGAGGGGTGTGCCAAAATTGGGCGGCGGCGGCATGCGGACGCAGCCATTTGGGCCTTCGGTGGAGCTCCCTATGGGGCCACGAAGCGTGTGAGGGGTGTGCCAAAATTGGGGTGGCGGCGGCATGCGGACGCAGCCATTTGGGCCTTCGGTGGAGCTCCCTATGGGGCCACGAAACGTGTGAGGGGTGTGCCAAAATGGGGTGGCGGCGGCATGCGGACGCAGCCATTTGGGCCTTCGGTGGAGCTCCCTATGGGGCCACGAAACGTGTGAGGGGTGTGCCAAAATTGGGCGGCGGCGGCATGCGGACGCAGCAATTTGTAAGGGGTGTGCCAAAAATGGGGTGGCGGCGGCATGCGGACGCAGCCATTTGGGCCTTCGGTGGAGCTCCCTATGGGGCCACGAAGCGTGTAAGGGGTGTGCCAAAATTGGGTGGCGGCGGCATGCGGACGCAGCCATTTGGGCCTTAGATGGAGCTCCCTATGGGGCCACGAAGCGTGTGAGGGGTGTGCCAAAATGGAGAGGCGGCGGCATGCGAACGCAGCCATTTGGGCCTTCGGTGGAGCTCCCTATGGGGCCACGAAACGTGTGAGGGGTGTACCAAAATTGGGTGGCGGCGGCACGCGGCCGCAGCCATTAGGGCCTTCGGTGGAGCTCCCTATGGGGCCACGAAACGTGTGAGAGGTGTGCCAAAATTGGGCGGGCGGCGGCATGCGGACGCAGCCATTTGGGCCTTCGGTGGAGCTCCCTATGGGGCCACGAAGCGTGTGAGGGGTGTGCCGATGATGATGATGATGATGATGATGATGATGATGATGATGATGATGATGATGATGATGATGATGATGATGATGATGATGATGATGATGATGATGATGATGATGATGATGATGATGATGATGATGATGATGATGATGATGATGATGATGATGATGATGATGATGCTGCTGATGATGATGATGATGATGATGATGATGATGATGACGATGACGATGATGATGATGATGGTGATGGTGATGATGATGACCGGCAACCACGATGTGGATGATGATGATGACGATATTCATGATGATGAGCATGATGAGGATGGTGATGATGATGGGAGGAGGGGGAGGGGGCAGCGGGAGGAGGAACGCGGGGCACCGTCTCTTCAAAACGAGGACCCAACACCACAGGATGGTTGGGAAAAACTGGATGTGCAGCCATTTTTTGGCCGTGCCCGGGATAACGTGGCTGCCCATCCTTCCCCAGGATAGTCCTCCAGATTGGTTTGGGGGCCGCGGCCCCTGGTGCCGAGCATAGCCGGCTTTTTTCCGACAGCAGGAACCAAGTCTTTTTCAGCACGATCGGGCCATTCCTGGTATATCGGGCCGAACAACCTGTGGGCGCCCCAAAAATCTCCGTCTTCGACAAACCTGAGGGCAGACTCAGTCAACCGCTTACACACCATCCCAACAACCTCCCTCTGGGCGGGGGCCGATCACAAGAAGGCAAGGAAACGGGGTGGCAGACGACGCGATTTGGCCTGCAAGACCGCGAGCTGGGGGTGGAATACCACTTCGACAGGGCGATGAGGGGAGAGCTCCGAATCCAGTAGCTCATCGATACCTCGAACAGTTTTGCCCAGGCCCGCGGAACCAACAAAGAAATCAAACATGGGCGGCTCCTCGGCAGGAACATGCGTGCACGTGCTGGGCGAGATCAAGCTGCCATGAGCGCGCGAGATGAAAGCAGACGCATCGAGTTCACCAGGATTCACGTTAAAGTCAGCCCCGACCAGCCACGGTAGATGGCGCGAAGAAAGTTGTTCCCCAAGACGCCCCAACCTTCCAAGGTTGTTATCGCTAAACTCCTCAGAGTGCACAAGGTACGCCGAGGGCGCCAACAATTGGGGGGGGGGGCGGTGAAATAAACCTCGCAGCAAAGGCAACGCCCAGGAGAAGGTAGACCCCCGGAGATCTCCGTGAGCCCAGCCCAAGACCTCACGAAAACGGCAACTCCGCCGCTGGTGTCGTCGACGGGAGTCGCGTTGGCAGGAGCCCAGAGCTTACGCCACCCTCTGCGAATGCACCAGCTGCTGGCCTGGTCGACGTCGTCCCTAGCAGCCGACCGATGCTCTTGAGCGAGCACCATGTGAGCGGGGGAGGCTTCCATCAGGCCCTTGAGTGCCCTGGGAGTTAGCGCTGATGGCATGAACCTTGAGGGCCACCTGATTGAGGTCCTGGGGAGGAGGAGCCCCATCGGGGAGCAGGGAAGGGTCCGAGCCCTCCTGCGAGACATCAGAATTACAACGACCAATGGAAAAACGCCAGAAACAAATGTTCTGCACCCTACGCGAAGCATCATCGAGAGCGCCCTTAGACTCTCCAAGACAAAGGGCCGAAGTCGCAGAGAGAGACTTCGCCTGTCAAGGCGCATCTGTATGCTGCAGCACTTGTAAAACAGCATGAGAAACAATCTGCAACTGCTCTTGCGGCAACACTACGCTGGGCACCTTGCGAACGTCTCCCTTGCCAATGGACAAAACAGGGAGCCGGGCGGCTGGCGAGGCGAAGCAGATCGGAGCCTGATACTTCTGCAGACGACCTAGAGACAGTGGTGCCTGCGACTGCCTCTGGATTAAACTAGATTGGCTGCTCCCAGGCTCTCTGGCTCTGCCCAGCAAATTCTGTCTCCTTTCTCGACAGGGCCCGGGCGTCGGGCTCGAGATCAAAGACAGACGAGAATCGAGACTCATCCAAAAGATCTCAGAAAAAGAGAGAGAGAGAGAGCTTGGACGATGGACGGGGAGCAGCTGCGTCGGTGGGCATCGCCTGGTTGAGCTCCCTGACCAGCACACGGTGTTCCGCCTCTGCCTCAACCAGCTCCGCCCGCAGCGGTGCGACGTTGAGCCGAGCCGTCTCCAACTGCGGCTCAAGATGGGCGAACTTTGAACATGCTGCCTCCAACCGACGCTCAGCTCCCTTGGCGCGCTGGTTTGCTCGATGTAGGCGAACGCGAAGAGCTTCGGGAACCTCGACCGGCTTGATGAGAGCGGAGGCCGCCCTGCGATAGGTCGCTGCTCCTGTAGAAGCTCCCATCTTCTCACATAGACTGGCCATTTGGCTGTATTCCTCGACGGCGAGTGGAGGCGCAGCCTGCTCATGACCAAAAATCGAGGCGTCGGGGGGCTTGCCTTTGCCACCAGCGCCTCCTTTTCCCTCCGCCGTGAGCTCTTTTGCCACCCCCAACTCCAGGCTCTGCGTGTGCAACTCCGGAGTCTTCGAAGAGGGCCAGCGAACGGTGCGCGGACCAACCCGCAGTGGAGTCGTCACGAAGAGAGCTGCAGTGTTTGCAGTAGAAGACGCGAGCTTCGTTCCTCCTGCATCCACATACGTCACACCGCCAACGGCCTTGTCCCCTTTCCATAAGCATTACGACCACCAGGCAGGTAGCCACCAACACCTTGAAGACTGGGGACGAGCGGCGGCCATTGGGCCGAGTCCGAGCGACGTGGGGGCACACAAACAGCACCGACGCCACGGGGCGGGCCGCCTCCTGCACCTGAGTGTTCGTTGCGGTAGACCCAGGGACGACGTGGCTTGTCTTGTCCTTTGCCTCCACCCGCGTCGCCTCGGTCCAACTTGAAGACCTCTGGGTCTCCCTCGGAGTCCTTTTGGAGCCAACTCAGGGCTCTATCGGGGTCTTTTTCGGAGGCCTATGGTGGTTTTGGGTACTTTTCGAAAGTACGGCCAGAATCGGTCACTCAGCTTTCCCCCCCTCTGAAGCCATGCGAGTTGCCTTTGGACGGCGCTTTGGGCCCTCTGGGAGAATCCTCGGCGCTTTGTTGGACCTTCTTGAGACTGAGTCCCATCGAACGCGAGCGGGCGAGATGGCGAACATCATAGAGAACCTTGCACATTTCCCGACGACGTTGGCCTTTCGGGGTCATCCCTGGGCTGTTTTATTGCCACCTCGGGTCGTCCTGTGGCAGCTTTGGGCCCTCGAGAGACATGATGGAGACAAGCCTGACCCCAAATGCGCCGTCTTGCGCTACCTATCTTGGAGGCCATATTGGAGGCCATGCAGGACCATCTCTGGAAGCCGTAAAGTCTCGCGGGGGGGCTCAGCTCCCTCTGCCTTCTTCTGCCCATCCTGCCCCTGCCCCCCCCCCCCGCCCCTCATCCGAACCCCGCACCCTACCTCCTCCCGCCCTCGCCCTCATCCCTCCTGCCGTTGCCGTCGTCCCTTGTCGTCGTGATTTGTCGTCGTAGTCGCCCTCTCCTGTCGTCCGCCGTGGCTGCAACGGCACGCCGCGCGTGTACCAAGACAAGTTTCCTGGGGAACGCCAATTGTACACGTGCACTGGCGCTGGCCAGGCCAATCCTAGGCCCAGGGTGGCCCTCGTCAGGACTGGTGTGTGTGTGTGTGTGCTGCACTGGCGTCCTCGTAACACGAATCCCGCCCCATCCGGCGTAGCGTTTATGTCCGCATATGGGCTTTGCCTGCAATACCAAACGACGCTTCCAAGCAGTGCCAAGCAACTCAAAGCAGGACAAGCAATGCGAAGCAACGCAATGCCAGTCGACGCCAAGCAACGCCACACAATGCAAAGCAATGCCAAGCATTGTCGATGAATGCCAAGCAATGCCATGCAACGCCATGCAGTGCCAAGCAGTGCCAGGCAGTGCCAAGCAGTGCAAAGAACTGCCACGCGATGATCCGTAGCCATTTTGTCTCAAGCCTCGGCTCGAGTTCCAAGCCCAGACATGCGACGTCCCGATTTGTTCAATCGCGCTGCGGCAGGTGCCCCCCCACAATGGGGTGGGCGGGCGGCGGGCCCGCCGTGGCGCCCTCCGCGGGGGCCGCCGCCGTCGGCGCGGGCCCTGCCCACGGGCGGCCGACTCCGCGGCGCGGCCTCCGCCGGCGGCGCCCCGCGGCGGCCGCGGCGGTGGCCGCGGCGGCGGCGGGCCGCGGGCTGGCGTGCCTGTCGTGTGCGCCCAGGACGCCAGCGGCGGCCGGCGGCGCCCTCGCAGCGCCGAAGCCCCTGCGGATAGTGGCGCTCAGCGACACACACGGCTTCCAGGGCAGCCTGCAGGCCGAGGACATCCCGAGGGGAGACCTGCTCGTGCACTGCGGGGACTTCTCCCCGGACTGCCCTCGCGAGAGGCGGCGGAGCGAGCTGGAGCGGTTCGACCTCTGGCTCCGCGACGTGTGCCTCTCGCGCTTCCAGGGCCGGCGGCCTCTGGTGGTCCGAGGGAACCACGACCCCGGGATGCTGCAGAGGTTCCTCGCCCGCGCCAGGCTCCCCGCGGGCGAGGAGTGCCTGGTCTTCCCCCAGAGCAGGGCCCTGTACCTCACGAGGGACTGCTACTTCGATATCGCGAACGGCACGGTGAGGGTCGCGGCGCTGCCCTGGAGACCGCCGCTGCTGGGGAGGCGGGAGCTCCGCGAGAGCGTGGACGTGCTGCTGTCACACGCGCCGCTGCTGCGGCCGCTCGACCGGGAGGCGCTGGCGGCGCCGCGCCGTGGGCCCAAGGTCCACATCTGTGGGCACGTCCACATGGAGGCGGGGAGCCGCCTCTGCCGCTTCGGCGACGACGGTGCGACGGTGTTGTGCGTCAACGCCGCAATGGCCAACGATGGGATAGCTGCCAGGCTGACGCGGCCCGCGTCGGTTGTTGAGCTGCTGGTGGGGCCTGCGGGGGTGATCTCGGCACGTCACGCGAACGCCGATCAACAAAAAAAACTGCCACGCGATGACAGGCAACGCCGAGCAATGTCAAGAAACGCACATCAATGTCAAGCAATGATGCTAAGCAATGGCATACAATGCCAAGCAGCACAATACAACGCCATGCAATGCCAACAAATGCCGAGCAATGCCAGTAGTTGCAAGCAATACAAGAAGTGCCAAGCAATGCGATGTAAGACAACGCATGGCCAAGCAATGCTACGCAACGATTCCAAGCAATGTCAAGTAACGCCAAGCAAAGTCAAGCAATGCGACGTGCTTCATTGCTTCGCATTGCTCAGAATTGTTTTCACTTCCTACGGGGGAATAATGATCCGTAATGGGGGCCGCGCCAGGTCCAATCCTCTAGATGTAAGGAACAGGGTTCCCGAGCTGCCTCTCACACCCTGCATGCCATTCCGCGGCCGCCAGAGGAGGAGGAGGAGGAGGAGGAGGAGGAGGAGGAGGAGGAAGGAGGAGGAGGAGGAGGAGGAGGAGAGGAGGAGGAACGAGGCGGTGGAGGAGGAGGAGGAACAGCAGGAGGAGCAGCAGTTGGAGGAGCAGGAGGAGGAGGAGGAGGAGGAGGAGGGAGGAGGAGGAGGAGGAGGAGAGGAGGAGGAGGGGGCACGACGCGCGAGGACGCCCTGGGCCCGCCGCCCCCCTCAGCCCGCGCCGAGGCGCCGCCGCCCCCGCCGGCGGCGCCGCCGCCGCCGGCGGAGGCCCCGCCAGCGGCGGCGCCCCCTGCGAAGCGGGAGGACCCGCGCCCCGGCCGGCGCCGCCGCCCGTCGGGCAGGGAATGGGGCAGACGGGCGGCGGCGCGACGGTCCGAGGCTGGCGGGCGGATGTTCCGACACCGGCACAGGCAGGAGAGGGAGGAGGAGGCGGAGGCGGAGGAGGAGGAGGAGGAGGAGGAGGAGGAGGAACGAGGCGGTGGAGGAGGAGGAGGAGGAGGAGGCGGAGGCGGAGGAGGAGGAGGCGGAGGAGGAGGAGGAGGACTTCCCCATCCTCCCGTCTCCCTCGTCTCACCTGTGGTCGTGGTGGTGGGAGATCGGGCCATCAGAAGAGGGGAGGCAGCAGCGGCAACGACCGGGGTGCTAGGCACAGGGGCCTCTCCACCTTCCTCCTGACGCCTCCTCTCCACCTTCAGGGGCAACGCTGGAGGGAGGGGGGGGGCAGGGTTTGGGTGGGGATAGGCTCTCGCCCAAGCTTCGAGGTGGTTCGATGCTTGAGCTTTTTGAGCGTTTTCGTTGTTTTTCGGCGGCTCTCCAGCCTGAGGATGCCCTCCAGCAGCTGCGCCTCGCCGCTGGCGTTCCGGGGGTGCCCAGATCGTCCGAACTCACGGCCCCTGGAGAGCCGTGTTGTGGTGCAGAAGCCAGGGGCAACGATAGTGGGGGGGGTTAGTCAGGAGGGGAAAAAACACACAGACACACATAATCGTCGATTCCCCAGAAAATATGGGAAAATATCGGAATTGGGCGGGAAGACAAAAACCCAGAAAATATTGGAAAATATGGGGAATCTGGTTATTTGTGTGTATTTATTTGTGTGTCCCAGTTCCCCTTCAGTGTTGTGGTGCAAAAGCCAGGGGCAACGATAGTGGGGGGGGGCTAGGCACAGGGGGGGATGCATCGACCCCCCAATCGCCAATCGCCCAGTGCTCGCCGATGGGGGGGCCAGGTGGCCCCAACCCGCCCAGGACGGTTCGGATTTTTGCCACCGGGGGCCTAATTATTGCCGATGTCTCGGCGATGCACCTCGCCGACTCCAGGTCGGTGCTCCCCCTCCCCTATGCATCGCCGATCCCATGCGTCGCCGATTCCATGTCGGTCGATCGCCGATTCTATCGGCGACGTATCGCCGATTCCATGTCGGCTCCCCCCGGATCGCTGCCCCTCTCGAGACACTGCACGGCGACGAGCCGTCGGAGCTCCGCGCGGAGCTCTCGGGGCAGGGCGGTGCCCAGGCCCCTGGAGGGGCCACGCTGTGGCCCAAGCGCGGAGTCGGATCTCTCCCTGGCCCTCGCGGGCGGAGGCCGTGCCCAAATCCACGGCCTCGCGGGCTGGGCCCCAACTATACTCAGGAGAGGAAAAAACACACAGACACAACTCATCCTCGATTCCCCAGAAAATATGGCAAAATATGGGAAGTGGGGGGGAAGCCAGAAACCCAGAAAATATGAGAAAATATGGGGAACAGTTTTATTTGTGTGTATTTATTTGTGTGTCCTGGGGCCCCTTCATATACACCAACACCGATCCTGGCCCAGGATCACCCTGGGCCCAGGATCGGTGCATATATGCCTTCTCGCGCAAGGCAGGAGGGCGTGTGCACCGATCCTGGGCCCAGGGTGATCCTGGCCAGGATCGGCGCTGGTGTATAGTTGGTGCCTTCCTATCGCGGGCTGGGCCCTTGGCCGCGACCCCGCAGATACGGGATGCTTTTCGCGGATGCCCCGCGCGGACCCGATTCACGTCTTTATTTTTCCGGATTTCCAAGTCACCCATATGCAGATTCAGCGCTGAAGAAGAAGAGAGTGTCTGGGAGCACCTTGATTAGGAGGTAGCCCCAGTACAGGTGGTCTACACCAGCGGATGCAGACGCGGGTCTGGCTTCAGCTTCATGATCTCGAGGGCCATCTTACAGGCGGCCTTCATCAACACAGCTCGCTGGTATAGTGTGTCTGCTTGTCTGAGTATCACCCACCCACTCTCAGCAGTCACCTTTGGGACCGAGGTCCAGAAATTGGCAGGAAGCCCATACTGGTGTGAAATACTTTTTCTTGACCTCGAACACTCTGGGCACTCCGCCCATACATGTCGAACAGAAGGCCAGTCCGCGGAACATGTCTTGCCTGACTGCCTCCGCGTCTCGGAGGCCACTCCACCAGAAAGATAAATGCTGAGCAACTTTCTGTCGGCCTCTGAAAGATTATTGACGATCTTCTGGAATACAGCACATGACACAACATGAGGATCAATCTCCGAGATCTCGTCCGCGTCCTGTCTATCTACCTGTGTTGACTTGTTGGAAACATATTCAACGCTGCCCTGCAGAGGGCCGAGCAGCCGATAGGCCTGCTCGTGTGGCTCGCGCGCGCGCGCCCGCGCGGACCGCATCCATGCGACCGCATGTTCACTCCAGGCATGCGGGGTCCGGACTTCTTCGATGAGCGGCGCCCCGAAGTCCCGCGTTTTTGTTCTCCCCGAGTCGCTTTTTGACGGTCCCGGAGCCCGGTGAGGGCCCCCCAAGGGGGTGAGAACCCTGGCTGTTGTTGCGACGCGAGCAGGAGGAGATTGAGGAGATTGAGGAGGAGGAGGAGGAGGAGGAGGAGGAGGAGGAGGAGGAGGAGGAGGAGGAGATTGAGGAGGAGGAGGACCCAGACTGCGAGGGCGTGGCCGTGGATACGTGCTCTCCGCTCGGGAGGCCAGCAGGGGGCCCCCCTGGCTGCCACAAAAATCCGCGCCGAAGTCTCCCGGCCAGGGGCGCGCTGCAGCACCGGCCCTCGGGCATCTCGGGGGCGGAAAAGAGGGGGGTGATGACTAGGGGGTGGAAGATGGGGTGGATGGGTGCGGAAGCGCAAGCCATTCTGGGAGGAGGGTGGAGAGGGATGGGGACAACGGAGAGGAGGGGAGGAAACGCCTCGGAATGGAGGTCGCGCAGGCTTGGCACGTTTCGTTTGCTCGCCTACCTGTCGACGATGCAGGTCAGGGAGCTTTGCAAACATCGGGGGCGGAAAAGAGGGGGGTGATGACTAGGGGGGGGTGGATATCATGGCGCGGGCCATGATATTTCCCCAGATTTCATGGCGCCTCTTCTTGTTTCATTACGTCCCTGGCCCCCCCGCTGGGCCGCGCACATGCCGCCGGTCATGATTTGCACCCCCCCCTCTTGGACACCCCCTCTTGGCCGCTCCCGAGCATCGATCGGTTTCTACCTACACGGGGGCAGGCCGGTGCCCCCAGGCGTCAGATATTACGCTGCACGGTTTTGGGGGATCGGGGCCCTTTCTCCCAGACCTGCGAGCTCCGTGGAGAAAACGAAGGATGGTGTTGGGCAATGTTTGGCCTCCTGGGGCCCTCAAATGGGCCCCGGGACCGTCAACAAATTACCGGGGACGATACACTGGCGCACGGGAAAGGTCGGGAGTTCTAGGTAACATGTTTGAGTTGCCAGCTTCCCCTCAACGATGGCTGCAAAATTGTTGAAACTTGAACGCCCCGATTGACTCAACTTGGGCGACGGTTTGCACAAGAATCCCCGAGCTGCAGTCGTCGCGAGCCCCTAAAAGAAAAACCTGGCGTTGTTTTACACCATTGTCTCCTGAGTGCTATCTAGAGGTTTAGAATCCAGCAGCAGTGGAAACGGCGCTGGGGCGAGAAGTTTGTCCTGGGCATGATGTTCACATGTCTCACGCGTTCGGTATCCTGATGCAGTGCACGCAGATCTCGCTGCCTTGCCTCGTCCGGCGGGGCCAGGACCGGAATAAATCGTCCCAGGGCGTTCTGGAACTCTTCTCAGAGCGTTCTAGAACGCTCTGAGAAGGCCGCGGAGAGCCGCAGGATCTCAGAGTTCCCCGATTCGTCCCTGTCCGATTCTGTCCCTGTCCGCGCCCTCGCGGTCTGGAATCCAGGGCGCGATCCCGCGGATGCGCGGTCGCACGGATACGTTCCGCGGGGGGCATTTGCGAAGCATCGCCCCGTACCCACGGGGTCGCGGCCCGGGGGCCCGGCCCGCGAGGCCACGGAACACGGATATGCTTTTCCCCCATGACTCGTCTTGGAGAGCGTTTTTTTTAGGCCGGGCGATGACGGTGGTTCCCGGGTGGGGCAGGTCTGAGGGTCGGGAGAGGCTGTGGTGCCAATGCTGAACCTGGCGATGCTAGCTATCGTAGATCACATCTCCAATTCCACGGTTGGCACCACGCCCCTTTGTGCCACACCCCATCCCTACCTCCATATGCAGGGGGGGGGTCGGTATAACGTCACGTCTCGCGTTGGCACCGTCCGGGAGTGCTTGTCAGAGACCGCTCGGATGGCCAGACGGCGCGGGCACACATCGTGACGGCACCAGCGGGGGTGGTGTGGCCAGGGCCGGTAACGGCCGTTGCAGTCAGGGAGGGCGCACAGTCAGGATGAGCGATTTTCCAAGCTTGCTCTTGCATCCTACCCCTCTGGCCCATCCTTGGCCTCCGCTCGAGAGGTGTCGGCGTGGCATCCCAAGGCCTTCAGGCCCAAGGCCCCTGCAGCCTTATCCTACATCCTGATTTCGGGGAAACGTAAAACTCGAGAACGCCAGAACTCGGTGTTGCCACTGTTTTTTTGACGAGCGCGGGATTTTGACGGTCCGGTTTATGCGAGGATGTCTGCAGCGGGAACTCGCGCCAAATCCCAGACTGGGCCTCCTCATTTTCGTGATGGCCCCGTCAGGCCAACCCGAGTCCCCCGAACCCAAGTCTTCCAATGAAAACCCACGCCACGAACCACCCTGCTTGCCTCCGGGGTGCCCTGGGTTTCTCGGGAGCCGATACTTTTGCTATGGGATGCGTGGCGCTCCTGCGTGTTGACGCCCCCCGTTGCTGGAGCCGTGGCCGCTGCGCGCCTCACTGGGGGTACGTCGTCCTGGGGACACACCTTGGGCCTTCCAAGTAAAATAGAAAACAGGGAGGTGGAGGTAGTGGGAGGAGGTATGATACAGTATGGGATGGTGGAGGAGGCGGGAGGAGGAGGAGGAGGAGGAGGAGGAGAGGATGTTCTGGGAAAACGAGAACCCCACTCAGGATGTGGGGAATAAAAACAGCTGGGCCCTCCAAGCGAGCGCCCTCGGCCCCGCCAGCGCCGCCAACCGGGCCAGCTCGCTGGCGCGGGGCGCCCGCACAGCGGCGTGCGCGCGCGCGGGCGGGCGGGGGGCACCGCCCGGGCCAGGAGCGCAGCGGCTTCGGCTGGCTGCGCCGCTCCGCCAAGCCGAAGGCGCGCGGGACGCCGCCGCCCAGAGAGGGGGCCACGTGTGAACCCTACGGTAGGTTTGCGTCGTGTCGACCAGCGGCGACCCCAGCGCGGGCGTTCAAGGTTGAACGCCGCGGGCGACCCAGAATCGTTCGATGTTGAACATTTGGACGTTGCGGAGACGGCCGACCGTTCAAGGTTGAACGATCCCCGCGGTGTCAGAAACCAACGCCGAAGTCGGCACGACACGGACCTGCCGTACCCCTACCCCCCACGATTTCCGAGGGGGAGGGTGGGGTTCACTTCGCTCGGGAGCTCCCGAGCGGAGCGAAGCCCACCCTCCCCTCAAAAATCGTGGGGGGTAGGGGTAGGGTTCACATGTGGCCCCCTACCAGAGCTCGGGATGAAGGGTTGGCCCGGGGGGGAAGGGGTCGGGACCTCGCGGGGCCGCGCATGGAACCGATCGGGAGACCCCGTCAGACCTCTTCGGTGGCAGCTCACGGGAGCCTTGTACGCCCTCGGCATGCCGTCTTTAGAGTGCGAAGGCGTGCGCTAGAGTCTGGTGGTCGATGAAAAGGCGCCGCTGTAGCGTCGATCCGGCGTCGATGAGCCTCGACTAGTGTCGGCTAGCGTCGACTCGCAGGAGTTATTGTTGCAAGTTGATATGGGATGCTCCCATGAGTTGCCATAGAACCTTCCCCACCCAGATTTCCAACGTGCTGCCAAATAACAATACAATAGTGCTTCACCGTTTTCGGCCTCAGCCTGTGGCCACCTCTAGGCCACGAGGCCAGCAAAGACGGGCTCGGGATAACGAGCCGGTCCTGGAACGGGCCGGTGTATCCTGGGACCCCGTGTTGAACAGATCAATTCGGATGGACTCTTTTGGAGGCTAAGTCAGAATCGGCGTTGGCATATCAGTGGTCGATCGTGCAATCTTGGGCTTCATCCGACTGAGTCCAGCCTGATGGCCTCGTTGAGCGGGCGGAATTCAATCTTTCATAATCGCCAGGACCTCCCAGGAGCTGCCTCCTAAAAGCAGGGCATCCTCTCCTCGCACAGCTGCTTGCCCGCGCCCCCGCGCGCGCTGTGAGCTTCTGGGGCCCCCTCGGCCCCCTTTAAAACGACGCGAAGATCGGGACAAAATCGGATCGGGATAACTCGAAATCTCTGAGAATCGGCGGGCTTGGAGGATGTATTGGGCGCCGCGGCCGCTCCAGAGCGTTCCGGAACGCTCTGAGAGCGCTCCGGAACGCTCTGGAGCGATTTATCCCGATCCTAGCCCTGTTTTACCCTTCTCGGGTGTTGCCAGAAGTGCGCTTGGCCCGAGGTGCCCCCCAGGATTTCCAGGGAGGCTTCTCGCGGCCTCCGGAGCTCCCCCTCGCGAGGCCCAGAGGGGCCCCGCAGGGTCTCCGAAGTGGGGCGAACAGGCGGGGGCACCCCGGGCCAGGCGCACCTTTTTCGCAATCCCCGACGTTCCTCCTCGCTCTCTGATGTTCCAGCCTAGTGCAGCCTTGACCGCGCAATGCCGCGGGCCGAACGAACGATGGCAAAAGGCAGAATGCCGCCCAACATCTAAAAGCATATCTTCGTCAACATGAAGATGTTCGAGTGTTGGGGCATTATCCTCCCTCGCCAGAGAGAAAATCCTTGTATCCAACCACAAAGAGGAATCCTTGTGCAGCCTTGATCACCAGAAATCGTTGCAAGCACCAAGAAGAACGTACCGACACCGGAGGTTCTTTTGATACTGTGTATGATGTGCGCTCGAACTGGTTTATGGAATGCGGACCTTAAGTACGATGGGAACAGCATAATCCTCGCTCTTCCCACCAATCCTCGCTCTTCCCACCGATCTGGGCAGCAGCGGGAGGACGCCGTGCCCCGCCTGAAATGCTGCGCGAGGGCAGACGAGGGGGTTTTACTGCCGCTGCTCGTCCTGCAGAGCTCGTCGTCGCCCCGGCTGGATGATCCTCGGAAACTTGGTCATCGGAGGCCCAGAGTTTGACACCAACACCAATATCGGCGGTATGCCTCCACCGATTGTGGTAAGGTTCGGGCTTCCTAGGTGGCCGAACGATTGCCACCAGCACCGAAATCGAGGATCATCTCCCCCCTGTGGAGTCAAACCACCTGTCTGGGGTGTTTGTGCCCATTTTCAAGCCTCCCAGGTTAGCATCCACCCCGGGAAAGGCGGGGGGGGTCTGGACCCCCGCCTACATGATGGTGCTCGCCCGCAAGCCATGGCGATCACAGCGCACCCTCTCCCCGATGTGCCCCGACCCCGCCCAAGCGTCACCGCTACCCACCCACGTTGTGCAACGGCCGTTGCTTGAAATCGTGCAGGACAGTAGTAGTGCAGAACGGCTTCTTGCCCCAATCAATATCTTGAGCCCGCAAGCCAGGGCGATCACAGCGCACCCTCTCCCCGACGTGCCCCGACATCGCCCAAGCGTCACCGCGACCCACCCACGTTGTGCAACGGCCGTTGCTTGAACTCGTGCAGGACAGTAGCAGTTCAGAATGGCTTCTTGCCCCCGTCAACATCTTCCGCAGTGTGTGCACGGCAGAGGGGCACTGCGGGCTGCGCATGGATTCCTTGAGGAGGTCTTCGCGGAGGGTGGCGTGCCACGTGTCTTGAGGGGGCGGCTACCCCACTGGGGACTTTGGGCTGGGACAGCAGAGGACGACGAGGGCGAGGGCGAGGATGAGAGCTCGAGAGGGACGAGGAACATGTGTTTCTTGAGTTTTCGGCGGTTCTCGGCCGCTTGATTCTCCTTCCTAAAAGACTAATAGATTCTACCCCCCCCCCCGGACTTATCGGTTCCCCCGCGCGTGCTGTAAATTACATATGATTCTGACCACATGTTCATCTTAAGTATGAATTCATACCATCCCAGCCAAGCCGGGTTCCCCCCCCCTGCGGTTCCCTTGTAAAAAACACTATGCGGTGACACGTTTTGCTCTAACATAGCACCTTTTTAACGAATTCCTTGCAAAAAATCTGACAAAGTGCACACGCGCGCGTCGTGGCGCGCGCATGCCGAAATCCTTCAAAAACCTTCGGTTCCGGAGAGATTTCAAAATTGAATTTCCAAACAACATATAAAAACACATGGTTTCGCAACACTGATTCAAAAAACAAAAAAACTTACGCGCGAGCTCTTGCGAAATCTTAAGAAAACCATAGGTTTTCCAAGATTTTCACAAAATGCTACCAAACGGGCTTCGCGCGCGCATGTCGAAATCTGTCGAACGCTCTTGCGCGTGTGCCGTCGCGAGAATCCTCTGCAAAAAATGGGACGAAGTGCAGACGCGCGCGTCGTCGCGGGCGTATGCCGAAATCCTTCAAAAACCTTCGGTTTCGGAAGAATTTCGAAATCGTGCGTCCAAAAAACCTACAAAAACACAAGGTTTCGCAACACGGGTTTTCAACAAAATTGTGCGCGCGCGCTCTTGCGTCGTCGTCGTCGTCGTCGTCCTCCCTCGTCGTCGTCGTCGTCGTCGCCGTCGTCGTCTTCTGTCTTTCCTCGTCGTCTTTGGCGTCGTCGTCGTTTCCGTCGTCGTTGTCGCCGTGGTCGTCCTTCCTCCCTCGTTGTCTTCGTCGGCGTCTCGTCGTTGTCCCTCCTATTTCGTCGCCGTCGTCGTCGTCGTCGTCGTCGTCGTCGTGGTCTTCACTCCTCCCTCGTCGTTATCCTCCTCCCTCGTCGTCGTCGTCCGTCGTCGGCGTCTCGTCGTCGTCCCTCCTATTTCGTCGCCGTCGTCGTCGTCTTCGTCGTCGTTGTCATCGTCGTCGTCTTCCCTCCTCCCTCGTCGTTGTCGTCGTCGGCGTCGCCGTCCTTCCTCCTTCTTCGTCGTTGGCGTCGTCGCCGTCTTCCCTCCTCCATCGTCGTTGTCGTCGTTGTCGCCGTCGTCGTTTTTTCTCCTCCCTCGTCGTCGTCTCCGTTGGCGACGTCGTCGTCGTCTTCGTCGTCGTCGTCGGCGTCGTTGTCGTCGTCGTCGGTGTCGTCGTCGTCGTTGTCGTCGTCGAAAACATTGGAGACGTCGTCGGTGTCGTCGCAGTCGCTGTCGGCGGCGCCGTCGTCGTCGATGTCGCTGTCGTCGTCGGCATCGGTGTCGTGGCCAAGTGCCACGCAGTACCTACCGTCACGGTCTTGTCTGAAGATGTCTTGCGACCAAGTTGCGGGTGGGAGGGTGGGATTTTTGCACGAGCAGTGGAGAGGACAGCTTCAAGACAGTCGAAGTGGGTCGGGGGACCCTTAGGTTCTCTCAGGTTTCGGGCCGGGTGGAGGATGAGAAGGAGGACCATGCTGACGTATGAGGAGGAGGAGGAGGAGGAGGAGGAGGAGGAGGAGTTTGGGGAGGAGGAGGAGGTGGAGGAGGAGGAGGAGGAGGAGGACAACGAGGCGGAAGATCTTGCTTCTGCTGATCCGCCCCATAAACCATATCATCCCATTGTAATCCTAGCCCTGACCCTTGCACCTTGTAATCCTCCTCCCGTCTCCGTCGCATCCTCACCCCCCTCCCCTCCTGTCTCGTTCCTCCCTTCTCCCTATCCCCTGTCAGTCAATCCTCACCCGAATCCTCTCCCAGTAATCCTCCCCCCCGCCCCAACTTCATTGCTCTTGCCACTATTGTGAATCATATTATTTCCTCGTCGCCGCCGCGCCCTTCCGCTCCCCTCCGCCGCTTTTTCCTGGCCCTCCTGCTCTTCCCGCTCCTCCCACCCCTGCTCCTCCTCCTCCTCTTCCTTCTCCTCCTCCTATTCCTTCTCCTGCTGCTTCCCTCCTCCCTCTCTTCGCTGTGCACCGCTCCCCTTTTTTGGATGTCGTCTCGCGCGGTGTCCGCCAGGTCACCCGCCTGCGGACAGCGACGAGAAACACATCGCAATGGAATTGATTTTACAGGAGGACTCTTCGCTAATAGCCAAACAGTAGGATGGGCACTATTGTTCGACGATTTGTTGACTTTTTTGAATGTGTTTTGATAATTTGTTCATTTGTCGTCCAACATGCGCCTGTAGAGGACATGCCCGACCTAGGAATGGATGGCTGGGAGGGACAGGATGCAAGGCGTGGTGCTCGCACTTAGGTTGCTTCCCCTCCTCTCCGTCCGTCGCTGTTGGCTCTGGACCTGTCTTTCGGGCTTGCCTCCGCCCACGATCGGGGATCAATCCAGGGTCCTCGAGCGATCGGTCCTTGGTCGAGGAACGACCGAGGGTTGAGGATCGATCCCCCATCCTCGATCGATCTAACCTCGATCGATCCCTCGAGGAGCAGCGAGCTCGAGAAGGAGAAGCTTGTTGGCCCTCTCACCCTCCTCCCCCTTCCCCCTCCTTGCCGCCATCCTCCTCCGCCTTCGCCTCTGCCGACTTCGCGATTTTTATTCACAGCGTGGACCCCCAGTTGTCAGGACACCTTCCCCAGGACCGACTGTTCATCCCGAGTGTTTTTTGTCACGTCCCAGACGCCTGTGAGGGCCTCCGGGGGCCGAGCATGGAGAACAACCGTCCGCCGTAATGTTTCCCCGACCAGAGGGTCCGCACACAGGCGCCAGAGGCGCACAGCCTCCTGTCCAAGTTGTACGAGCAGTTCGTCTTGAAGCCGGGAGCGAAGGAGCTTGGCTTGATGCTCCGCCACTTCCGTTTCAAGAAATTCTACAAGGGAGGATACACCATATTGCAATTCTCGATAGCGGATCAGATCACTCTGCGCGGGAAGGTTCAACAGGCCGACGAAAAAGGAGAAGGACTTCAATTATTCGAAGCTGGAGCTGGAACAGAGCATCGTGTTGCCTTCGAGAGCTCGGGGGCAACCTCAAGATGGGAGCTGCGCCACAGGGCCACCTCGAGTCCCTCGCGCAGAAGCTCTTGGACCGAAGCCAGCCGCGATGGAAAGGGGGACGCAAACCATGATGTTTTGGGATCAGAGATGGGCTGCCGTCTGTGATCGTATCAACGTACGGGAGTTGCGAGGAGAACTGAGGTTGTGATATTTCATCTTGTGTACGAGCCACTACATACATTTCCATATTATTTCTTGCCACTGGGAATTCCACTTTTGGAGGCGCTGCGTGTATTCAGACGCGGGGAACTCAACCAGGGCGACGACGGATCCACCTCGCCCGCCATCTCTTGTCAAATCCCCACGCAGATCTCATTTTCAACGCAGCAGGCTCGCACCGACCACAACCACCACCGACCTTCCTATGCTGGGATGTGGTCCAGCTACTGTTTCCGCCAGTCTTCGTCGCATTATGATGAGGATAGAGGAAAGAGCGTGTTCTACCGCTGCTGGCGGAAAACCGGGGGGGGTCACTACCGGTTCGAACCCCTCCCCCCCCCCCCCCCCCCTCCCGGAAAAAACCGGGGGGGGGTCACTACCGGTTCGAACCCCTCCCCCCCCCCCCCCCCCCCTGCTCATCATGAAAAGGGGGGGGGGTCACTACCGGTTTCGAACCCCTCCCCCCCCCCCCCCCCTCCGGATCCGGAAAACCGGGGGGGGTCACTACCGGTTCGAACCCCCCCCCCTCGAAAACCGAGTGGGGGTGCGGACAGTGGTGGGGACGGTGTTGGTGGGGACAGTGGTGAGGGGACAGCGGGACAGTGGTGGGGACAGTGGGGGGACAGTGGGACAGCGGTGGGGAGGGTAGTGGTGGGGACAGTGGTGGGGACAATGGTGGGGACAGTGGGACAGTGGGACAGTGGTGGGGACGGTAGTGGTGGGGACAGTGGTGGGGACAATGGTGGGAACAGGGGGGGACAGTGGACAGTGGTGGTGACGGTGGTGGTGGGGACAGTGGTGTGGGGACAATGGGAATGAGGTGGAAACAGTGGGACAGTGGAGGGTACAATGGTGGTGGGGACAGTGGTGAAGGCGGTGGCGAGGACGGCGGTGGGACAATGGGACAGAGGTACAGTGGGGACAGTGGTGGGGACAGTGGGGACAGTGGTGGGAACAGTGGGACAGCTCAGTGGGACAGCGGAGGAGTCAGTGGGACAGTGGGGACAGTGGGGATAGTCGGGCAGTGGTTGGGGCCGTGGAGACAGTGGGGAGAGTGGAACCGTGGTGGGAACAGTTCTGGGGACAGCGGGGACAGTGCGACAGTGGTGGGGCCACTGGTGGGGACAGTAGGGGCGGTGGTGGAACCAGTGGGGACAGCGGTGGTGAGGACAGTGGTGCTGGGAACACCAGTGGGGGATGTGATGCGGACGGTGGTGGGGACCGGGAGTCGTTTGCTGGCGGTGAGTAGGGGGGGGGGGGGGGGGGGGGGGGGGGTGGGGGGGGGGAGGGGGGGGGGGGGGGGGGGGGGGGGGGGGGGGAGGGGTTCGAGAACCGGTAGTGACCCCCCCCGGTTTCCCGGATCGAGGGGGGGGGGGGTGTGGTGGGGGGGGTCGAACCGGTAGTGTGACCCCCCTCGGTTTTCGAGGGGGGGGGGGGTTCGAACCCGTAGTGACCCCTCCCAGTTTTCTGGTTTTCGGGAGGGGAGGGGGGGGGGGGGGGGGGTTAGGGGAGGGGGGGTTTGGGGGGGGAGGGGGGGTTTCCAGCAGGGGGGGGGGGGATTTTCGGAGGGGGGGGGGGAGACCCCCGGGCTCCGGAGGAAAAGGTTGGCAATTTTCCACAGTAAAGCGGCGGTGGATCACGCTCTCTCGGATAGAGTTTACCTTTCTTTTTCGCACTGCCGGCTTGCGGACCGTACGATTTCCAGCAGTTCGTCGCCCCGAGTCGGGTCATGATGGGCTTCCTCCACGAGGGCCGCTACTTCGTCTGGGCCCGCTGGCCTGTCCGCGGCGCGCCATGCCCGCGACCTGCCGCTTCTCTCCCCTCTCCGCCTCTGCCCTCCCCCCTCTTCCCCCTTTGCTCGCCCGAGAGGGCCCTTTTTTGTCCCCAAGGCCTGGGGGGGGGGGCCCACGGCCTGGTGTCTCCCCCCCCCCCACCGAGGGGCGGCTCGGCGGAGCCGCGCCTCGACCCATGGGGGGGAGGGCTCGCGGCCCCGGGGCCCCCCTGGCCCAATGGTTTCACCCCGGGTCCGCTCGGGTGCACCTCGGATGCCTCCGGGCTCGGCGAGCGCTGCGGGGGCACTGCCGGGCGCCCCCTCGCGGCGCAGGGCTCGGCCTCGGCGGAGCCCGAGGGGAAGCACCCCCCAGCCCGCGGGAATCAACACACTTGCAGATATCCGAACCCGATCGGATTCGGGCTGCACGGCGCGCAGCCACCCTGACCTCGACCGCTTGGGAGCCCGATCGCTCGCTCAGAGGTCATGATGGTTTCCCGTTCGCCGCCCGATGTCCCAGTCAGGCCCGACCAGAGACCACGCGCAAGGCCGAGTCTTCTCCTCCTCCTCCTCCTCCTCCTCCTCCTCCTGCTCCTCCTCCTCCTCCTTCTCCCTCTCCTCCTGCTCCTCCTCCTCCTCCTCCTCCTTCTCCTCTTCCTTCACCTGCTCCTCCTCCTCCTCCTCCTCCTCCTCCTCCTTCTCCTTCTTCCTCGTCCTTCACTGCTCTCCTCCTCCTCCTCCTTCCTCCTCCTCCTCCTCCTCCTCCTCCTCCCCCCTCCTCCTTCCCCCTCCTCCCCCTCCTCCTCCTCCCCTCTCCTCCTCCTCCTCCTACCTCCTCCTCCTCCTCCTCCTCCTCCTCCTCCTCCTCCTCCTCCTCCTCCTCCTCCCCCTCCTCCTCCCCTCGCCGCCACCCTCGCGCCTCCCCGCTCCTGCCTGGCTGGCGCCGACAGGCGCTCCCGCTGGAGGAGCTGCTGGCGGAGGGCGGCGGCCCCGCCGCGGCCGCCGCGCGGGGGGGGGGGGCGCGCGTGGGGCCCCGCCGCGGCTGGGCGAGCGGGGCCGCCGGCGATCGGCTGCGGTGCGAATCGATCCGCGGGCTGGGCCCGCGATTCCGCGGGCGCCCTCGAGGGCGCGAAGGTATTCGCACTCCGCGCTCTGCGTTTCGGCTCCTCATCCTCCTCATGTTCGTCCCCCCTGGGGGGGGCTGCGCGAGAGCGTGAAGCAAGGCGCCCTTGGCTTCGATCCAACTCGGTCTTTTCGAGCCGATCGATCCCGCTGCAATTCGATCGGTTTCGAAGTCCGCTGCGGGCCGGGCCCCTGATTTTGCGGCGTTTCGACGTATTTCGCAGCGGAGTCGGTCGAGTCGGTTCGATCACTCCATTGCGGTTTGATCGTTCCGCTGCGGGCTGGGACGACGAATCCGTTGCGGCTCGATCGATCTCGCAGGGGAATCGGTCGATTTGATTCAATCGATCTATGTATGATTCGATCAGCAGCAGCTCATGTGATGCCATGCAAGAGTGCATAACCAATGCACACCGGCTGCGTCGATCCAGTGTCGATTAGCCGCGATTCAGCACCGATGAGCGCCGATCAGCGTCGACCAGCGTCGGCCAGTGTCGTTTCGTAAGCGAAAGCAGGATGGCATGGGGGGCCCCCATGAGTTGCCACAGCAGTGTCGATTTGGCGCGCTTCACGGGCATCGGCAAGGGCCAACTGGAGCAGAACACGGTGATAACCGATGGCGGTTCGACTCAGGACGGTCCGCTGGCGATCCGATCCGGTCCCGATTGGCGACGAGATCCATACATATCCACTGTTCCTTGCCGGGCCCATCCTGGGTCCAGGAGCAGTGTGTATGCCTCCCTTGCCAAGCTGGGAGGGCCAGGAGGGTCTTGGCCAGGAGCAGTGAGGAGGAGGAGGAGGAGGAGGAGGAGGAGGAGAGGAGGAGGAGGAGGAGGAGAGGAGGAGGAGGAGGGGGGACAGGGATGGGGACGTTCAGGAGGAGGGAGGAGGAGGAGGAGGAGGAGGAGGAGGAGGAGGAGGAGAGGAGAGGAGGAGGAGAGAGGCCAGGGGGTTGGAGCCAGGGATAGCGATGGGGGTGGAGCCGGCTGTATGGCCTAATGCTCGTTGGGCTTCGCGCAATGGGGGGGGGGCAGCAAGAGCTGCAGAAAGAAGGGGCCGTCTAGGGCCCCTAAAGTGGCCCTCTACGGCGCAACAGCGGCCTTTAGGTCCCGAGAAGTGTACCTCTCTCTCTCTCTCTTTCCCCCCCTTTTATCGAGCCCCTTGAAGCGACGCCCAAGGCCCGTCCCTGGTCCCGGTCAGCAGAAGATAAACAAAACCTCGTGTCGTTGAAGGACGCGTGGCCAGGACGCGCTTCTAAAAAGCTGCCGAGGCCGCGGTCAGCGCGCCTACGAGCAGGAGGAGGAGCAGGAGCAGGAGGAGCAGGAGGAGGAGGAGGATGATGATGATGAGGAGGAGGAGGAGGAGGATGCTTCAGAGATTCAACTGTTCCCGATTGCATGCAGATTGCGCCCACTGCAGAAAAGGGGGCGAAGGAGGGAGAAAGGCGCCCCCCCGTTGCCACGGCTGGACGCGGCTCCATAAACCAGCCAGCTTCAGCACCTGAAGGTGCTTGGGTGTGGGTTTTGAGCGAATTTGCTGCCACCCTTTCTGAGCTTATCGAGCTCAGGCCCACCAGCCGCCTTCAGTGTCAGGGGGGGACGGGCTCAAGGGCGGGGGGGGGGTCCGAAACCCAGGGTTGTTTCCGGTTGGTATTGGGATCGTCCTCAACGGCCGCCCCATGGCCAGACTTACGGCTCGACAAAAACCCAGGGAGCGAAAGATCAGAGCCACTCGCCTCAGCCGGCCTCATCGCAGCAGCGTGTTGTTCTCACGCGGCGCCCGTTTGAGGCATGCCGCTTGACGCTCTCTTCACCTGTGCTCCAACCCGCAGCGAGCTTCGTCGCCATACGGCGGGCGGACGTCAGAAAGGGGGATCATAGCCCTGCCCCCCCCTGACTCGGCGTCGCGCGCATGTCCCGGCCCGTCCCTCTCCGACGCTTCGAGTTCCTGGACGCGACGCCAGCACCCCAGGCATGCGACCTTTCCCCAGGATCTCGGGCCGCGCGTGGACGGCCCCGAGGCCCGCCGACGGGGTCTGAACGGTCCTCCTTTCCGACGGGAGCCCACTACACAGAAGAGAGGCCTTTCGCCTTATTGATCTCTTGTCTGGGCCCACAGAGCCATCCGATCGCCGGAAGCGACGGGATAGCAACGGCTTGATTGCTTGGGTTCCGCGCCTCCCGGCTAGGGTGCAACTCCTGGGAGGTCAAGTCCGGCATCGGCGCTGGCAGATCCGTGGTCGAAGCTCGGACGAATCCAGCATAGTCCCGCTGAGTCTGGCTTCATTCGGCTTCATCCTGGGCCCAATCCGGCCTAGTCTGTCGGAATGGCTTCCTTGGAACCGGGCTGAATGGCCCTCCTTCGTTCTTGCGCAGACCTCCCCTGAGATGCTTTTTATCCCCGAAGGCGGCGCGCCACAGATCGCTCGCGCCTGGTGTGAGGACGAGTTGTGCGCACACTGCCGCGTCTGCATCTCCCGAGGCGTCGTCGATTCTCGACCCGAGCATGGCACGGGGCATACTCCAGATTTCGTAATAAAGGGAGGGGGGTCTCATTTCGGGGGGGGGTCTCTTCCAGGCTATCTTGGAGGGCCTGGGGGGGTCTGGGGACGATGTTTTGGAGGGTTCTCCCACGATGGGGGGTCTGAAATGGCTTGTCTTGGAGGGTCCAGACCCCCTCCCTTCTATTACGAAATCTGGAGTAGTTTTGTTGACGGCCCTCAGGGGCGAAAAGCTGTGCACCGCACCGCGGCAGAGATGGGCCGAAAGGGAGTAGCCTACTATACCGAATCCAATCTACATCTCTTTGGGAGGCGTACCCAAGGGGGGTTGTCCAGTGGGGTTGTCCGGATCCCCGCTGGTTTGTCCAAGGGGTTGTCCAGGGTAGGCCGTTGTGTCGTAATTCATGAGCGTGGATTGTCCGTGCTGTCGGGGGGAGTGTCTGGGGATTTGCGGACGGGGCGTTCCGGAACGCTCTCAGAGCGTTGCGGAACGCTTTGGGAAGGCCGCAGCGCCCGAGACATCCCCCAGAACGGCCTGATCTCAGAGACTCTCGATTTGTCCTCACCCGATCTTATCCTCGCCCTGGCTTCGTCTTAGATTGTTTTGAATTTGATTTTTCGTCCGTTGAGTTCGGTAGCAAATCATGGGAGCCTGGCGTACACTGTTGATTCCGTCTTTCGCGTCGGTTAGCATCGATTAGAGTTTGGGAGTCGATGGGATAGCCCGATTTAGCGTCGATTTGCGTCGCTTTAGCGTCGAGTAGCGTCGACTCGCAAGAGCCGACAAGATGGTGTAGGAGGCTTCCATGAGCTGCCAGCGTAATTCTTCTGGATTGGAATATTGTTCCGTTGAGCATCGCAGGGCCGCGCGTCGCGTGCAGCTGAGGGGGGGGGGGCGGGGCCAGGCCTTCGCCCGCGCCGTCGCCAGCGAGCTCGCGGTCGACGCCCCCGAGGGCCTCTTCGACGGCGTGCCGGGGGTGAAGGCGCGCCCAGCGCTTGCGGGTCCGCACTTCGGTTGGGCGTCGTGTGACCGGGGGCGCTGAACTGGGGGGGGGCAGGGGGAGGAGGGGGTGGATGAGGAGCAGGAGGAGGAGGAGGAGGAGGGGGGTGGATGAGGAGCAGGAGGAGGAGGAGGAGAAGGAGGAGGAAGGGAGGGGGAGGAAGAGGAGGAGGAGGAGGCCAGGGGTGTAAAGGCGCGCCACGCGCCTGCGGGCCCGCACGTCGCACGTCGGTTGGGCGTCGCGTAGAAAGGTTTACTTGTCCAGCGATTCTTGGGCGTGGTCTCTCGAGTGGTCCAGGTTGGCTCTGGCAATTGCTGGTTCTTTTTGGAGCTTAAGTTGCATGGTTACTCGATGGCCGTGGGCGTCGTCTATTTGGTGGCCTCGTTGGGGGCCGTAGGTGAGAACCTTGTCCGCTTGAACCAAATCTCGGACTTCGTGAATTGCCTGAGTATTCCCTGGGTCCTCCACGGGGACTTCAATATGCATCCTGGTCTCCTGTGCGACTCTGGTTTCTTGGGCCTTACACGATCCCGTGCTGTTGTCCCTGCTAATGTTGAATTTACGTGCAGCGTGGGATGCACCATGATTGATTACGTTGTGTGTTCGTCTGACCTGGCTCCGTACGCGCGTGTGCGCGCCATCCCTGATTCGCCTTTCAAGACACATGCATGCTTGCACGTTCGCATTCCCGCTGATGTGACTACCCAGGAAGTTTGGCGTCGTTCTCGTGCTGCTGCGTTGCCGGCGGCTTTTGGTCCTGATCATCTGTGGCCGCATTATCTTGACATGGCGTGTAAGCACGGCTTTGAATTTCACATCCCGGATGATCTTCGCGAGGCTACTCTCGAGCATACCTTGGCCCACGTTGACGTTCTTCTCTCTGAAGATTACGCATTGTGGTCACGGGCTGCTGAGATGATATATGTTTCGCGGGGATGCGCTCTCCTGGAGGATCTTGACGCTGTTTTAGGACGTGGCAGTTCTATTAGGCGGTTCTCGGGGTCCCTGCGGAGGCGAGGCCAGTGCAAGCAAGCCTTCAATTCCCCGTACTTGTGTTTCTGGTCTATGGTTTACTCCCGGCTTTACGAGTATTGGCGGGCAGTTCGGCGCGGTAGCTGGTCTGTGCATGCTCGGCGTCTCCGCTCTTTCATCATCTCCCAGGCATGCAAAGTGTATTCTTTTCTGGAGCCGCTCGCAGGTCCGCTGGATGCCCAGCGCTGGCATGACGACCTCATTTCCGTGTCCGCGGTCGCTGATGCAGTTCGAGTGTTGATTGATCGCGCAGCTGATGTATGCACGGCAGCTGTTTCTAAAGTTCGTGCTGCCAATTTGTCAGGTGTTAAGAGGTGGCTCCAGGCAGCTTTGCCTGGCGGAGGTCGTAAGGTTCATGCATGGCTAAAGGCAGAAGACAAGCTCAGCGTCGAGTACCTTGTCGCACCTGATGGTGTCCGACAGACTCCCGGCAGCATGATGGAGTACCGGAAGGAGTTTTGGAGTGCCCTCTGGACCCCTACTTCGGACCATCTGAAGCTCCTGAATGAGACCCTGGATGAACTTCGGGCTGAAGCCCAGCTGGCGCTCCTGGAGGTTCCTGAGTTTACTCCCAAAGATGTTGTGCAGGCCGCTTTGAGATTTTCTGGAACGACGGCGGTTGGGGTTGATCAATGGTCTCCGCGCAGTTTCCTGGACCTGCCCGGCCAAGCCTTGTTCTCCCTCGCTGCCATATTCAACCAGTGCGAGAAGGTGATGGCCTTCCCCCAGCAATGCTACTTGAATGTCATGGCTTTGCTTCCGAAATCTGAGAAAGATGAGCGTGCTGTTTCTAAATGTTCGACGATGTACCGGATGTATGTGCGCATGCGAGGTGATGATGTGGACGCTTGGAGTGCAGCACACACTGACTTCTGGGATAGCGCAGTCAAGGGATCATCTGCCCTCCAGGCCGCCCTGCTTCGCGAATTGTGTCATGAAGTCGCTGGCACCCTTGGGTTTGATTCTGCTTCTCTTCATTGGGATATGGAGAAATTCTTCGACCTTGTCATTCCGTCGCTGTTGGTTCAGCTCGCTCTGAAGGTTGGCTACCCTCCTCACTTGCTCTACTTCGGTGTCGTGTTCCACACCTGCCCTAGACTGCTCGAAGTCGCTGGTACGATTTCTGATGTGATTTCTACGGGTCGTTCCATTTTGGCGGGCTGCGGACAGTCGATGCCATGGGTGAAAGCATACTTACATGATGTACTCGATCGTGCGCACCAGAGGTTGCCAGTTGTTCCGATTCGGTCATACGTCGACGATATTACTCAGTATGTTCATGGCTCTCGCCGTTACGTGGTCAGCTCCCTTCCTGGGGCAGCGGCGGCATTTTTCAAGAATGTTCAGTCCCTCGGTTGCATCATCTCGGCCAAGTCTGCAGCAGTTGCTTCCTCTGCTGATCTTGCTCGCGATTTAGGTGCAGCTTTTGGGTACGCACGTGTTCCAGTGAAGTTCACTACCGAGGTAAAGGACTTAGGTGTGATGACGACGGCAGGTAAGCGACGGTGCACATGGAAAGTGAAGTTGCGACGACGTACTGCCTTCCGACGCTCTCGTAAGCTCGCTTACCTTGCCCGTCTATGTGGTAAAGCTAAAAAGATCTACAAGCCTGGGGTGCTCTCGGTGGGGTCCTGGAGTCATTCCGTGGTCGGCCTCACGATGGCAGACGTTCAGGGTTTCAGGTCCCAGGCGGCCCAATGCTCGGGCCATTGGAGTCCGGGAGCGTGCACGACCACGGTGTTGAGCATTGGTGATCAACATGTTGATGATCCTGCCTTCCGTATGCGTAAGGAGCAGCTTCAGGCTCTTGCTGGTGCGTGGCATTGTCTGTCTCCTGGTCAGCGTGTGGGTGTGCAGAGGACCTGGACCAAGCAGCGTGATAGGCTACTCTCGTTGGATGCGCCGCGTCGATGGCGCACTGTTCGTGGTCCCATTGCTGCCACGGTCTGCACTCCTCTCGATCTCGAATGGGGCCCTGACTCCATTACCTCATGGTTTACGCCAGTGGGAGTGTTGAGCATTGAGGCTCGTGATTTTCCATTCCACCTCACGAATGCTGTGCGGAGTACGTTGGATCGTATGTTGTGGGGTAAGGCGTCGAATCATTTTTGTGGGGATGGTCTTGAAAGGGGTGCTGACCTTACCGTATTCAAGAGTTTGCATGCGAAGTTGGTCAAAGATGGTAGTTATTCTGATGCTGCCCTACTCTGCTGCATTGTTTCTGGCGGCACGTGGCCTGAGGCTCGGCTTCAGGATGCGGGGTACTTGACTGATGGCATGTGCCCTCGGTGTGGCGTCGCCCGTGAGACGACGCTACACCGTGTCTGGGGCTGCTCTTCCAACGATCAGATTGACTCGGTCCACTTGCTCAGGTCCCGGGAGCTCGTCCAGACAGCCTTACATGATGAGCACGAACGTTCAGCATTTTGGAACCGAGGTATTCCCACTCCTGCTGCTGCTGTCGCCCCTCTACCTCCGCCGATGGATGTGAAACAGGCTTGGGGCCTGTTCTCGGATGGACGCGTGGTACGAGGCGGCCGATTTGGGCTCGATGGGTCAGGAGGGAAGTGGGCTAAGGATCATCGTCTTCGTCGTTGTGGTTGGGCGGTCGTTCGGCTGGACGAGGCTAGCGTCGACGATTTTGAGTTTCGATGTGATGCGATTCTGGCGGGGACTCTCCCTACTCGGACTCAGTCGAGCCCGCGCTCGGAGTTGTTTGCATTGATTATGCTGCTTACCTTCACGACGGGCGACGTATTTGCATATTCTGATTATCTTCCTCTCGTTCGGGGCCTTAGACGGGATCGATCTTGGGTGGCCAAATCCTCCCCGATGCTGGACCTGTGGGTCCAAATCTGGGACCTCCTCGACGCTCGTGATGGCCGTGTCGAGGTGATCTGGACCAAAGCTCATTCAAGTCGTAGTGTCCGTGTGGCTTGGGGCATTTCTGAGGTTGAGTTTTTCTTGAATTTTTGTGCTGATTTTTTCGCTGGGAAGGCTGCCGCCTTGGGTGAGATTCCTGAGGAGCATGTTCAGGTTTTGCACGAGGTTGATGATATGACCTCGCGCGTCTTGAATCGTCTTTTGGTTGTGACCCGAGAGGTCAGCCTGACCTGCCGGCGCTTGCGGTCTGATCGTGTTGGTCGCCCCCCGCCCCGGCCTCCCGCTATCCCATCTCATTTCACGCGCAAGCAGAGACTGATCGCTGCAGGTCACGCTCCTCGGATGCATGGAACCCGATTTGTGTGCACGGTTTGTCGCCGCACCTTTGATGCTACTCGCGGTCAGGTCTGCAACTTCCGGCCGGGTCGATGTCTGGGGGCGCGCGAGATGAGACCGCAGGTTGGGCGCGAAGCTGTAATTGCGCATCCTGCGGCGATGAGGGCCCATTCCTCGCACGATTTGTCGGTTCTGAGGGGCGTTCTGTACTGCCGAGCGTGCGGGCGATATTGTGTCTCCACCGCTCAGCTCCTGAGCGAAGAGTGTCATGTTGCGAAGGCCCGCGCTGAAGGCAGGCCGTCTGTTGGCCCCACAAAGGCTGGTGCTAGCGTATTGTCTCGCCTCGCGCGAGGGTTGTCCCCAAAGAGTGGCATGTCTTTTCCTTCGCTGTGATTGCATGCTGTGCTACCGAGTCCTGGCCAGATCAGGGGTGCTCATATGGTCCAGACCAGAGGTCCTCCTCCTCCTCCTCCTCCTCCCCTCCCCCATACAACGTTGTATGGTGGTGGAGGCGGAACACAGGCCCAGCAGGAGCACTGCGCAGACGTGCGCGTCTGGGGGCTCGCGCGCGGACGCCTCGGGGTCGGCGCCGCCCCTGGCGCGCTCCGCGCGCGAGGGCGGGCCCGTCTCAGGTCCAAGACATCCGCGTGGAGCGCTTGCAGTTTCTGTTTGTGCCGATCTTTCGCCCCGTATGGCACTGAAGAGGTCCTTTCTGTTCCATGAAGGGGGTT